TTTTATTTATTTATTTGACAGAGAGAGCGAGAGAACACAAGCAGGAGGAGCAGTAGAAGGAGAGGGAGAAGCAGGCTTCCCGCTGAGCAAGGAGCCCGATGCGGGGCTCGATTCCAGGACCCTGGGATCCTGCACTGAGCCGAAGGCAGACGCTTAACCATCTGAGCCACCCAGGCACCCCGTTTTTTTGCCTATTAAATGAGTGATTTATTTTTATTTTTACTTTTTTATTATTATTAACATATAATGTATTATTTGTTTCAGGGATACAGGTCTGTGATTCATCAGTCTTACACAATACACAGTGCTCACCAAACTATATATCCTCCCCAATGTCCATCACCCAGCCACCCAATCTCCTCACCGCCCCAACCATTTTAAAATGTTATCTGATCTTCACTTACCCTCAGAATTCCAAAACAAATGCTTCTGCTGAGTCTCGTTCACTTTCATGATGATAGAATCATTTGTATAGAGTCAGTAAAAATCTATCCTTTTACAAAGATACAATTGGAAAAAACAATTCTGCATGAAGATCATATGTACAGTGTGGTTTTTTTTTAAGTGGAGGAGGGGCAGAGGGAGAGGAAGAGAGAGAATCCTAAGCAGACTCCACATCCAGGGCCCAGCCCGTTGTGGGGCTCAATCTCAAGACCCCGGAGATCATGACCTGAGCCGAAATCAAGAGTCAGATGCTTAACTGACTGAGCCACCCAGGTACCCCTACAGTGTGATATCTGAGAGTGATTTTTGTTTAATCAAGGACAACCAGACCACTACTAAGGAGCAATGGTTGGTGTTGTATATCGAGCAAATGCCTACAAACCTTCCCAAGAAAACATGACATCTGACTTCCAGGATCCCAGTCTCTCAGGAAATAAGGAAGTCCACTCTCTGGCAGTTCAGAAAACTTGGCAAATTTTGGAGACCTCAAAAAAAGGAAAATGCACAGAGATGTATAGGCACAACATGCCAATTTTATTGGAGAAAGTATTTGGGTCTCGGTTTCCTACCCTTGGATAGAAGAATGATAGAGGCTTTGAAAAGTCTGATTCAAGACTCATTTTGAAAATTTCCAAAAGAAGTCTGTTCTTTGGAATTAATAGTTCCTTAATACTGTTAGGCTGAGCAAATTCAAGGAGGCTTTTCCAGTTAAGATTCTTGCTGCATCCATGTAAGTCATCAGGCCATGTGTAATAAAGCCAATCTTCTAGGACCAACAATAATTGTTGGAGACTGTTTATGATCACAAAGTAGACAACACCATTAAAATGGTCCACAATTTAGAAATAGGTAAGAGAGATTACTGAGTGTTCTTTCATTCTGTGTGATGCTGTGCTTCCTTCACTATCGTCTGAGATATTTTACAACTCTATAAGGAAAGAGAGGTATTTTGCATATTTCTGCCTTATAGATATGCAAATAATTTTCTGTCTGGTAGAAAGTGTAACTCAGAAGTTACATTTTACAATTCTCTTAGAGAGTCAACCCTAGATTCTCAAATGAACTTTGAACCAATTATAATATCCTACCGGTTCCCTCATTAACCAATGAGGTGAGCAAAATCTTTGTTTATACTTGCACAAGAGTCTGTGATTTTGCTTTTTTTTTTTTTTAAAGTAGGCCCCACACCCAACATAGAGACCAACGCAGGGCCTACGTCACGACCCTAAGATCAAGACCCAAGCTGAAATCAAGAGTCAGCCTCTCAGTTGACTTAGCCAGCCAGGAACCCCATGATTTTGCTTTTTTTTTTTTTTTAACTGCACTGTAACAAGAAAGATAGGAAGAAATAGCAGGAGCAAAGCCTTGGAGGTGGAGCTTTACTGGACACAGGCAGAGAACAGCAAACAATTTGGAGAAGAGGAATCATTACCAGCCAGCCCACTTGAGGGCCTCTGTGTTCCAGGCACCAGCCATTACATCATTACCACCTTGACTCCTTACAACCGTGTAAAACAGATATGAACAGGAACAATGACTGCTAATTTGGGTACACAGAACTCCACTGAAACTACTGTATTACATTGCTTCTCAAGGAGAGAAGTAGAAGATTGGCTTTGGAAGAAAAGTTGAGACAGATTGTAATGATTGTTGAGTACCAGGCCAAGGAATGTGGACTCCCAGCCCTAGGCAGTAGAAGTCTCCCCAGAACCAGTGACATAAGAAAACTATCCCAGTGGGTTTACGTAGAAGTGCAACTAGGGCTGGAAAGGAAGAGATTGGGGGTATTTTACCCTCAAACAGCATGCACTGTCCCTTGCCTACCACCCACTGTAGGTTGAATTGTGTCCTCCTCAAAGATATGTTCACATCTTAACTCCTGGTACCTGAGATGTGACCTTTTTTGGAATAGGGTCTTTGCCATGTCATTAAGTTCAGTTAAGGTTGTTAAGGTGAGCCCTAATCCAGTGACTGGAAGTGTTTTAAAATGAAGGAAATTTAAGCACAGATACACAGGGGCGCCTGGGTGGTTCTGTGGGTTAAGCATCCAACTCTTAATCTGAGCTCAGGTCATGATCTTAGGGGCTGTGAGATAGAGCCCCTCATTGGGCTCTGTGCTAGGTGGGGAGTCTGCTTCAGGATTTTATATATATTATATATATATATATTATATATATATATATATAAAATATATATATATCTGCCTCTGCCCCCTGCTCCTGCACACACTCTCTCTAAAAACAAATAAACAGCAAACACAGATACACAAAAAATCCCATGTGACAAAAGAAGTGATGTACCTAGGAGACAAAGAACACCAAGGATGGCCAGGAACCACCAGAAGCTAAGAAGAAGCAAAGAAGGATCCTTCCCCAGAGACTTCAGAGAGCGTGCGGCCCTGAAAACGTCCTCATTTTGGACTTCCAGCATCCATTGCCATGAGACAATAAATTTCTGCTGCTTTAAGCAACTGTTTGCGGTTGTTACAGCAGCCCTGGGAAACTACTATAGATTTGGGGGCCAAGAAATGCGGTGCTGCTCTAAAATTACCTAACATCTAGAAGTGGTTTTGAAATTGCGTAATGGATAGAGGCGGGAAGAATCCTGAGGTACAGGACAGGAAAGGCCTAGATCTCCCTGAAGAAACTGCTGGTGGAAAGATGAACATAAGGGCACTTTGTGGTGCGGTCCCAGATAGAGGTGGGGACCAGGTTGCTAGACACCGGAGGAAAGACCGCACTTGGCACAAAGTGGCGAGAAGTCGGCTGCACTGAGTTCCACTGCAGGGTGGACAGTAGGCCGTGTAAGTGATGAACTGGAATGTTCAGCAGAGGAGGTTTTCGAGAAAAGTGTGGAAGGTGAACACCTTGCTGGTTTCTCCTTGCTGCTTCTCATAAAATGCAAGAGGAAAGAGACTGGCAACGTATCCGCCAGCAAGGAGCAACAAGATGGCCAGCAACCAGCAGAGCCCAGGAAGAAGCAAGCAAGGCTCCCTCACCTAGAGCCTGCAGAGAGAACGCGGCTCTGTGGCCATCTTGCTTTTGGACTCTGGGGGTGATGAGAAATCAAGTTCTGCTGTTTCAAGCTCGAGTTTGGGCAAATCTGCAAGAACAGGGCTAGGAGACGACTATGTCGCCTTTCTCCTCTCCTCCACCCTTCCCCCTGCCTGTGTTTTGTCCCAAAGATCCCCTCTGCAGCACACCATGCAAGCAGGGTGAATTCTCTGGACCATGTTCTTCCTCATTTCCCACCAGGTATCTGGCCCAGATGGACCACGGAAATCTCAGTGATGAGAGAAGAAAGCCTTCTCAGGAGAATTTAGATTTAAATCCTCTAAAGAATTTAGTTGTTGTCAACAATTTATATAACACCAAAACAAAAACTAAAAATTTGTTTCTTCTAAAGAGAGATAGAGGGGCACCTGGGGGGCTCAGTCGGTTAAGCGTCTGCCTTCGGCTCAGGTCATGATCTCAGGTCCTGGGATGGAGCCCCGTGTCAGGCTCTCTGCTCAGTAGGGGAGTCTGCTTCACCCTCTCTTTCTCCCGCTCCCTCCCCCTGCTTGTGCTCTCTCTCTCAAATAAATAAAATCTTAAAAAAAAAAAGAGAGAGAGGAACTTAAGGCTTGGCAGTGCAGGTAAGGCCTCCTGAACTCTTCAGGGGAACAGGCAGACTGTCCAGGTGGGGTGAGCTGAGGAGGTGATGAGCCCCCTCGGCCTAAAAGGTAAAAGCATACCCAGTCCCAGCAGCAAGAGTCAATCCCATGCTCTTACAGAATACCAAACCCACTCAAAAGAACTATTTTATCTTAATCAGCACCGAATGTCTCCCATTAATATATGAAATGCAGGCAGCGGAAAAGCGTGTGGGTCTGATTCTGCCATTATCATAATCTATGGCTTGGAGGAAACCAAAAAAAACCCAACAAAACCATAACCCCTGTGAGGCCTGGTATCTTTACGGATAAGAAGGTAGGGAAGTCCCAGATTATCTAAATTGGAGGCCAACTCCAGAGTTGTATCATATGAGAATACTGGGGCCTCGCCCAGCGAGGACAAATCCCTGGACTCTCCCACTGGCACAAAGCATGAGCCCGCAGACCCGCACCACTTCTCACATGTTGGTTGCTTGTAGTTCTGAACCTCCATGGCGGAGCAGGGCACCGTGGTCCTCAGAGGGAGACCACGAGGGGGGCCCAGTCCCGGGCTCCTGGCTTGAGGGGTCTGGTGTGGGGGAGCAGTGCGAGGATGCACCTTCTTCTCCCACTGCTTTTGAGTCCCTGGGGCCGTAGAGTAATGGACAGTTACAGACAGTTCCCGATACCAGCTTTATTTACCACCTGGCACCAAGAGCCAAAGAAGCAAGAAGCAAGAAAACAGGCAGGTTTCTCCACCAGGTTTCGGCTTCTCTCAACACACACACAGCTCCCTTCCTTCCTCGTCCACCTAGACTTTTCCGCCCCACACCTCCAAACCCCACAGCATTTGCTTGGCAGCGCCTGGATTCTTAGCCATTCCACGGTGGAAGAGGCCCCGCTCCGGACAACAGGATCGGGGAGAGGATCCAGCCCACAGCACTCAGTGACTTGCTGGGATTTACAGGTTTGCGCAGCTGGTGCTGTTACCTTCATTCCTTTCTTTTGGTTTCAACTTAACATCGTTTGTTGCCTCACTCCGATCTTCCTGTAAAGAGAGAGCTTCTAAGTGCTTTACTGCACATGATAAATGTGATCAATAAAACGTTGACAAGGGGGCACCTGTTGACTCAGTTGGCTAAGGGTCCGACTCTTGGTTTCGGCTCAGGTCATGATCTCAGGGTCCTGGGATTGAGCCCTGCATCTGGCTCCCCACTCAGTGGGGAGTCTGCTTCTCTCTCTCTCTCTCTCTCTCTGCCCCCTACCCTGTGCTCTCTCTCTCAAATAAATGAATGAGTCTTTAAAAAAGACTTTTACAGGGATAAAGGAACGATTGTAATGTGTCTGTCAGCACACCACAGCATGACTTTTTCTTGTTGTTCCCATAATCCCCTACATTTCCGATAAATGAGCAACAGGGTGATTTATTGTAAATTCACTTCTGTACAGAAAAACATGCATCTTATCTCACCCGCAGCCATTTCCTCCCTCACCTACCCCGAGTCTGTCTTCCTTTGCACTTCGAGCTGTGGACACACAGACCACAAAGATTAGGTCACGACCCATGTCCTCTCTTTTTTTTAAGATTTTATTTATTTATTTATTTATTTGATGGAGAGAGAGAGAGCACAAGCAGGGGCAGAGGCAGAGAGAGAAGCAGACTCCCCGATGAGCAGGGAGACTGACTCAGGGTTCGATCCCAGGACCCCGGGATCATGACCTGAGCCAAAGGCAGACGCTTATGCATCAGAGCCACCCAGGCGCCCCCCCCATCTGTCCTTTTATTCCTGCCCACTGCTGTGCTCCCAGGGCACTGGAGGAGGAAGGTGGGGCTGGGAGGAATCCTGGGATGGCGATGGCACTGGTCTCTTCGCGGGACACTCTCCCCACCCCTCCGCAGGCTGGTGCTGGCCTGAGGATGAGCTGCGGGATTTCCTGGGAATCTCCAGCCTGCACCGGGGCCGGGGTCAGAGCAAGCACAGCGGTTAGCACTTTTGACTCTGACGTGCCCTGAACAAAATCGGCTCTGCTCTAAATCCCTACAGGTGCCCGCGGAGGTTGCTACCTTTCAAAATTTTAACAAATTTTAATGCAAAGCCCAAGTAGCTAAGAAACAGCTGAGCAGCCTCATTGTTTTCGACTATTATTTGTCAGGAAGAAATATAACTTGAAAATTGTGTTTACATGACTCACTTGTAAGCTGTCAAAGAGCGCAAGTGACTACTTGGAAATGGAGGGCGACGGCCGCGTTTCTCTCCCCTCTGCAAGGATGCGGTATTTGCACTTGGCGGGAGAGCAGGTCTGCACGTAATCCTGCCACCTGGCTCCCCACTCAGCGAGAGGGCCTTCAGCTACAACAGAGAACAACAAACAAAACTATACAAAATCCAGGCACCCAGGAGGAAGGAAGAAGAGGGGAGCATCAATGTGGCCGGGGTTCCATCTAAAATGACTGACGGGCTTCCACTTCCAGAACGCACCCTGAGGAACCGGGCAGGCTTCTTACTGGTGGAGAAGCCACAGCTGGTGAAAGTCAATTAAAAAAATGATTAAAGTCCGTAGGAGTTCTCCTAAGGTCATATAGCAAATAAAGAAATATTCATTCAGGGGCGCCTGGGGGCCTCAGTCATTAAACGTCTTCCTTCAGCTCAGGTCATGATCCCAGAGTCCTGGGATCGAGCCCCGCATCGGGCTCCCTGCTCGGCGGGAAGCCTGCTTCTCCCTCTCCCACTCCCCCTGCTTGTGTTCCTGCTCTCGCTATCTCTCTCTCTGTGAAAGACATAAATAAAATCTTTTTTAAAAAAAGAAATATTCATTCAAAAAAATCAACTAAATCTTCGTAAAAACAGTGAGTCTATGACACCTGAGCCATGACCTGCTTCCTCCCCTCCAGCTCATGCTCAGCTCCTCTGGAAAGAACATGCATTCTGGGCAGGTGTGGCCAAGACGATGGGGCTCCCCTCCCCTCGGCGAACCAGCAAGAGTACAGTATCTGAGGACAGCAGTGAGCATGCAACATTTCTCATCGCCTCCACGTCTGGGCTGTTGAAACTAAACTCCTGGTGGGTGCAGCCAGCAGCACCCTACTATTCCTCTACTCACCGGGCTGAGGCTGCACCCCAGGCACAGTGAGTGACCAACACTAGCGCCCCAGCTGCCCGCACCCCGCTTCCCTCAGAGGACAGCAGGTCCGTGCTGGGAGGGGCAAGCTGAAAAGACCAGGGGCCCAGGCTTCCTCTAGTGGGAAGTTTGATCAAAGGCTACTCTTGGAAACAAGGAACACTCCGGTGGGAAGCAATTTAGAGGGGCTAGGTAACCCTATGAGCGACACAAGAGAGACCACAAGCCAGCAAGTTCGCCAGAGAGAACCAGGAAAAGAAGCAGTGAAGAAGAGTCCTTTTAGGGTCACAGAAAACCTGAAAGACTGGCCACAAAAGCTATCCCTGCAGATTTAGTTCAATCAGACCGTGGGGCGATTCATGCGCAAGCGCATTATCAACAAGAGAGCAATGAGCTGGCCTTGAGTAGGCTTGACAGCCGGTCCGGTACCAGCAGAGACAGGCGGAGGAACAGAGTGATTAGGGAGAGAGACAGAAAGCTCTCCTGCAAGTGGTGTCACCCCAAGACTTCGTGCACGCCCGAGCCTGCACCCTGTGAGGAGCGCCCGGGGAGTTCACAACGCAGGGGACCCAGACACCCCCGGAAGAGTCTAGCCAAGACAGTAAACACACGCAAGCCTCCTACACCAAGCTGAACTGGAGTGACCAGAGCGGATACCCTTGCCTTATTTCTGTCCACGGGAGCAAGGCTTTCAGTCTTTTGTCATGAAACATGGCGCTAGCTGTGGGATTTCTCACCGGGTTATGGAGGGTTCTTTCTAGTTCCAGTCTGTTGAGTGTTTTTATTATGAGAGGGTGTTCAGTGCTGTCAAATGTTTTCTTTGAATCTCTTGTGCTGAGATACTGTCTCCAGAGCTTTCTTTAATTCTCTAAGTGTGATTTCCTTCAATTCTTTAAACATACTTATCATTGCTGCTTTCAAATCCAATATCCAGCACCTCTCGCAGGCTGTTCCTGTGGCCTGATTTTTTTTTCAGTATGTGGGTCACCCATTCTTGTGTCGAGGTAGGTCTTGTAGTTCTTGTGAAAAACTGGGCAGCTGAGGTAATATAGTGTAGCTAGTCTGCATACTGATTCCCCTTCTGCTTTTCTAGGCCTTGCTTTGCCGTCCTTTGCATGTCAATAAGAATACAGAAATTATTGAGACGCCTGGGTGGCTCAGTCAGTTAAGCATCGGCCTTCGGCTCAGGTCATGTTCCCAGGGTCCTGGGATCAAGCCCCGCATCAGTCTCCCTGCTCAGTGGGGAGCCTGCTTCTCCCTCTCCCTCTGCCTGCCACTCCCCCTGTTTGTACACTCTCTCTTTATCTCTCTCTCTCTCTGAAAAATAAATAAATAAAATCATTTTTAAAAAAGAATACAGAATTTATTTTTAGAACAAAATAGAAATTCTGCAATTGAAAAGTATAATAACTGAAATGAAAAATTGTACTAGTGGGGCTCAATGATAAATTTGAGCCAGTAGAAGAAAGAATCGGTG